CCACTTCTTTATATTCACATAAACATAAAATGTCAAGTATCATCAGAGAATTAAATTAATCGAAACACTGCGACGTGTTTGCAGCCATTCTCTTCCGGCTATCAAAACTTGGATACCGTCTTAGCTAGCAATAGGAGCGTATAGTTCTTAGAGTATTCGTTCTGACCTTCGAACCTTTGTTTCGAGTTTCACGTACGGTACCGCCGTTGGGCATTCGATTAGACGGACATCTGATTGGGGTTTGAACCTAGACCACAACGTGTCTCTAAGATTGGCACGCAAAATCGGTACCCACTACGCTATCAACCTATTACAGGTATAGAAACCAAATCTAACTGATAGAGACACAAATACAACGATCAACAATTATTTTGCCATCTATGAAGCCGAAAGCGTGCATTTCTGATAAAGATTCAGGTTGTTAAGCTCCAGACCGAACTCAAACATTATCTGCTAAGGTCGTAGGATTAAGTGTCCCTATAAAGACTTATAATGCGGTTTTTAGTCAGCGAAAATGAATTGTCTCAGAATACTCAAGCAATTTCATTTATGCTTGCCTTTGGTTGGATGGGAATCGCCTGCCTCAGATGATGTGGCGTTACAAAGTGTGCGTTTCGAATGTGAGTCTATTTAAGGTTATACATGTAGTTATAAGAACTGCAAGCATCCCTGAGAAAGCAAGCCTTTGAACGTGCATAACTCAGGCGTCTGTCGGAGAATGTAATGTATTAGTGTTATTGGTGCTAACCGTGCACTCCGTGCCAAACAATCGTACATTTCTTTATCTGTGTGTAGAAGAAATATAGTTTTTTCTATTTTCATCGTAAGCTCATTGAATCCCTATAATGTCACGAAGGATATTTATTGTTGACTCACGATAAAGATAACAGTTCTACTTAGAAGCGATATTTTTCATGAAAAAAATTAGCTTCTTGAAGTAGTAGAATACGTCTTAGTCGCCTGAATGTGGTTCATCTTTCAACAGACTAATTAAAATCAATTTATGATTCATTATTTACTGAAATCGAATAAATATATTGCTATCATATAATATGCAAGGGTAAAATGTCGATTAGACAATAAGTCAACCAAGCATCACGATAACTGAGCTTCGTATTGCCAAAAAGTAGCGCATAGTATAGTTTCGACTTCAGTTTTAAACACATGAAGACTGCCTGTGCGGTTAGATAGTCGAATTAGCTGAAGACCTCGTCTTTTGAGAAGTTGGATGACTCAAGTTGACGAAAGGAGCCCACTTGACTGGAGAGGCTGGGTTCAATCCCACTTCACCCGAGAGGGACACACCGGTTGACGAACCCAGAATATCACTCGTTTTTAGGTCTGCCAGCAAAACAGAAACGCGTGCTTGCGTTTAGGCAATCAACTTATTACATATGAAATCAACCGTCTGAGATGTGATTACTCTGTTAATTTAATTTCGAAGGACAGATAGACCTGCTCAGCTGAAAGGAGGAATTATGCCTAAGGTTAATTTTTGTCGGCACTGCACAGAGACTCGATTGGCCGTGGACTGTGTATGTAAGTTTTCACCAACTGCTATACAGAATAACGAACGTTGGCACTAACTCTCAAATACCCAACGAGATCTCCATTTGTAAACCGAAAAACCTAGCGAATACTGACGGCAAATAGAACGAAGTAAACACCAATCCCTAAATCCCCAGACGTGACGACGAAAACGTAAACCTTCGTGGAAAAAACCCCTCGTATTAGAATGAGTATGAAAATAAATTTAGAATAGACGAATTGTTTGGCAGCTTAAAGGTACCCTGTCTAAGTTCAGTCGACTTGATTTGCTCAGCAAAAAAAACAGAATTAGAAAAGACGACGGGCTGAGATCGGCAAACCCTCCAAACTATCTGCTCTTAGGGCAATATGAAATAGGTCAACTTTCCGGACCGACGCAAGCGTATCGCACGCAAAGCTATCAGCGATCTGTGCGCTAACAAATGCTTTAAAGCTACTTAGAAATACCTCAGTAGTCGTTGAGTAACACTAATCCCAATTACTTATAGAAAATTGATCTTGACCCTATTGGCCACCTGATTCAGAACATGCGATGACTTGGAAAATCCGCCAAGAACCACCTGACCAAATAGGAAAACTCCAGCGTTCGTGAGAATCCCGTGGACGAACTTCTGAACTCTATACATGAATAGTTATCGAAAGTTTTAATGTCGGTCGTCAGCAACCCGCCATAAGTACAAACGCTTGAGGAACTGCAACATAGAATTAGAGACTAGAAGAGAAGACCGCTAATGTAAAGTTATTATTTATATCATCTCAATAGCCTTAGGGCCGCCAGAAGTGGGTGAGGTACTGTAAATAGAAAAGAACTTAGAGCCAGCTATATAAATAAATAATACTGAGATGATACAATAAACTATTTTTTGCCACATATTTTGTTGCACATTTATTGCAAAACCGTCAATTGCAACATTTTGTCTCAGATATTCAGGTCATTAAGTGCCACATATACAAATAGACTAGGGGGGCATTTTCTTCGTACGCATATACCTCGTCAGCTGTAAAGCTTATCTATTAACCTTTAGTACACGAGTGGAAAGAGAATCCGTGTAGTCCATTAAAGTCTTCGGCCATTTTTAACCTAAGTAACTTCGTAAATTGTCTGTTATTGATAAACGTGTGCAAGCTTTGTGGCATGGGCCGATATAATAATCGTGCAGAAATTTCTTTTCAATCTGGCACAATTGAAAGTCTCAAGAACCCAATGCTATAAGCTAGTCTTCTCCAAGATTCAACACATTTTTTTTCGATACGATCGAATAGATATTTAACCATTTAACTAATAGAAATAGAAAATCTAACGGAATACAAACATTTACGGAAATTTTGTTCGGCAAGTTCTATGTATAAATATCATTCGACTGTTTGCGTGAGAAATATAATTTATCGAAAATGCTAACTTTTTAATCTCTTATATGATGAAATTACATTGTAAAGCCAATTATCTAGGGCTACCATTATAATTGCATGGATTCTGTACAGGTAACGATACCTTGGATTACACATCGTGTAGTACTTGATAAAATCGTACTCTTCGTATCTACTCTAATGTCAGGACAAGATCTTCACAGTATCTTGGTGTATACGATAGACAAGTGTCGAGCTTTTGTTGAATCCCATACTCGAATCAGTGTTGCTATCTTTGCCTATCTGCTCATTATTCGTAAACCGAGTCCGAGGCCAAAAAAAAAGCATAAGGTTAATATTTGAAGATGGTCCTGAGGTGAAAGGTTTTCAGATGCATTCCGTTTTCGTGGCAGACGAAATTGAGCGGTGCATCCTTTTATAAGTTAAGAACGAAACAAAAATGGTTTTTGGAAAGCAGGTTAAAAGGTGTAACGCCGAGTGTATGAGCGGAACCATGGGAGAGAGGCTTAACGACAACCCCTTGTTCTGAACGACCCGCGACTGTGAATTCGAACAAGAACCTAAGGAAAGCAATACAACCCCCGCACTCAAAATCGTTAGTAAACTTCCTGGTAGCTCGCAGGCGGGTTCGACATCCGACATGAATCATCTCGGGAAATTTTGACATCAAAAGGGTTGTGGGCTTTCCATTTCGATAATCCACCGGCTACTACGCTGTGTGTCACGTTTTTCGGGAAAACCTTTGTGAATTGCTTAAATTTCCATATTTACTAGACTCAGCCCCCTGTGGCCCCTTTTTTCGAAGGCTTAAGAAAAACCTTAAAGGAAAAGGATTTGAGACGATGGAGAAAATGTAAGCGAAACCGAAGCCGAGTCGATGTCAATTTCTACAATTTTGTTCAGAAACAGGTTTAACGACTGCAAAAATATGACTCTTGTGGAGTAAATAACGTGGGGATTGCTTCGAAAAACGACACGGATTTGGTCGATTAAGGTGCAAACAATTGGTACATCATCAAACACTGGATACTTTCTTTTTTAGCACAGAAATACTATATAACTCGATAAAAACTGAACGAAGTGGGTCACTAATGTGTCTTCCAAGAGAAGCATTAGAGTAATCTAGTTTTCCGAAAGTAGTCGTTAATGACTAGCAAAGGTGCAAACAGTAAGTACCTCATGATGAACATTATTATTGCTCCTCTAGCTGGATAAGAAAAACGAATTTCTCTGCAAAACCTAATGAAACCAGTTGCTAATACTGAAACGAACAAGCAAGAACTACTTCAAAAACTTGGAAGACATGCAAATTAGGTAGTTGACTCTAATAGTAACTCAATACAATTTAAACCGACAGACTTGAAATCAAAATGAGATCTTTTCTAGTACAAGCTAATAGATACTTTGTCTAGGGTACATTTTGACGTGTTGAACGATCTTCCGTTGAAAACGCGTCCTGTTATTGTTGATAAAAAAAAAAAAATAGAAAGCTGAAGTTGGACTGAAATGGACGACGGCGAAGTAGCGTTGTTGACAGGGGTAATAATTAAGATCATCAAAGACAGTTGTCTACGCTGGCAAGGACGCCACAAGGATGGCCCAGTTATGGCGGCTTGGATTCCCTTTGC